ACAATTACATTATCGTGCGTCGCACGGATAGAAGTTTTAAGAAATTCGATAAGAGTTCTATGGGTAACGTGCTACGTCAGCAACCTGTGATTAAAATGCAAACCACGTCGCGTTGGAAGCTTCGCGGGTAAACCGTGACACGATGCAACTCCGCGAACGGGTTAATTGCTGTAATTGACGATGTTTTCTTCTATACATATAGACATATAGTAGACATATAGAGATCTGCGTCACGAGAGACTCTACGTGGCTGAACAACGGCAGCACGATCTACGAAAGACAGCTGGGACATCTTTGCGAACCAACGGAGATTTATCGCAGTTACGAAATCTCGCGATTAAACGAGCCATGGGATTTATCGGTGGATCCGTGGAAATTTTCATCCACGCGTCGCTACGACATTCTTTTACGTTGAGCTTGAACGATCGATGAGCGCTGATAGTAGATCCGATGTTTCACTTCGATCAAGTTTTTTTTATGTTTTTGGTAACAATCGAGATGAGAATTTGGAAATATTCTAGGATTTTCAATGGTTTCGAAATTATAGAAATGTGTGAGAATATGTGTGACTCTAATCGTAAACACTTGTGATACGAGAAGTTGGAGGTTTGTAAAGCTGTAATTTCGAGATTCGATTCAAGTTAATTTCATTTAATCGGTCACTGTTAATGAATACGAAGCTATCGCCGGTTTATCGCGAAGCTGTTACTATAGAGTGAAACTGTCGTCGATGTCGTAGCGACGCACGGCACAGTGCGTGATTCGAGAAAAATTAAGAACTCCCATTGGACTCCGTGTTTTCTTTTTTGTCCCGCTTATTTTAATTAATGTTTACGACACGGTCGTAAAGCAGACCGGACACGGGTATCGATTTTAATGGGAACGCGGTCGTTCGGGACTTTTATGCGCTCACATAAATCGCTTTGCAGAAGCCCGGCTCGCTATCGCCTCCACTCCTTTTTAATTCGAGCTTTTACGTTGGCTATCCGTCTCAAATTGGGCCGCGACCACGGCGAGAATAATGGACAGAAATTGAATTCTCCCGTTGCGAGCTATTGCCGGTGGTTACCTACTTCGATGAACTGCGAATCAAGGCGCCTCTAGAAATAGAAATTGATCCATTTGTATGTATACTATGTAATCGAAATGCTTCCTGCGAGTAAAACAACCCTTGTCGAATGGTTCGATTTTTGTGGCAATAACAGATTCTAGCGGTTAGAAGCAAGACGCACAACATGATGTACACTTACATTGTCAAAAACATCCTATACATATTCTGATTTATTATTCGGATATATTCTGATAAATGCACAAAATCCGCAGTCTATTAATACTCTTAATTTTCATTACACACTTCACACACTACTGGCATTCAGATAATCCCGTACACCACAAATATTTTACTTTCTTCACCTTCTCCCATTGTCCCTATCCCCTTCCAGTTCCCCCGATTCTCGACCACAATAATCATTAGAAAAAACCGAAACCCCCCTACTGTGGTATACATATATCCAGGGCGCGTAAGTAAAACGAAAGGCTGGTCGATAATGGCGCCTGTGGGGGCTCTCTCTACCCTTCGAAATCGGTATTCGCCGCCTTTTGAACCGTTCGCGAGTCATAAGCCTGTGCAAACAAACCATCCCAGAAGTATCCCCTCGCCTGTGGACGACCGTAGCCGCGGAATGGGAAGAAGAAGAAAAAACACCCTGGTGGAGGGCACACGCGTGCGCGAGCAGAAAGTGGAGATACACAGTCGACTTTCCGGGCAATTTGCGCCGATAAAACCGAAGGCGCTGCCGGCCTCTTCTCCGAGGCTCACAGAGTCCGTTGGATATCTCGAGGATGCGCTCTCTGAAAACGGGTCGTGGCCGCCACTGGGAGCCCTCGCGCGCACTGGCAAACCGGCAATTTTCACCTTGCAACCACGGCCACGACTTCGAACGATCATCCTTCGCGGCTTCGAACGATCCACTCCCTCGGTCGCTTCCTACGTGATTGCTCTCGCGGTACGGCAACTACTGTTTGTTTAGCCGGCCACTCCGCCCATGCGAAACTGCCTGGTTCTTCAAGATTTTCGCAATTTCCCCCCCCCCCCCCCCTGCCGCCCATTTAGTTCGTTCAGCCGCTTTTGCGACGTCGATTCTTCTCGCGAGATACGATTTTTCTTCGCTGCACACACTCCACCCTTCTACCCTTCCTTCTTGGTCTTCTTCTTTGTATTCGACGTCCTCTACGACCGTTGGAGAAGAACACCCGTGGACGTAAAAGAAAGGACGAGAATCGACCTCGAAAACTCCGGGATTACGGCGAAACATCGACTAGGAGAATTGCCACCCGGCTATTCCGTCCCGCGCTCGTTTTACTGCCCTACGAGACGCCTCTCTGTTTCTTCGCGTTCGCCAAAATGACCGTCCCTGGTTTCCGGTACTATCGGACGATTTCACGAGTGAGAATACTCGGTTTTCATCGTTCCCCCGGAATTCCTCGAACGATTTCACTGGTATTTTCGTAACGGTTTCTTCGGGTTTAATTTCTGTGAGCTTCCCGCGTTTCCTTCTGGTTCACGTGGTTCGGAGTGTTGCAGGCATCGTTCATCCGTATATTTGCCTTGTTCAACCTTAGATTTAAATTATTACCTATACTAATATAATAATCACTTGTACCTAAATTTAATTATCACTTATCTTCGGTCAACATTTCTACTTTATTTATTCTTCAACCTGTCTTACACCTTCCCTTCAATTTCCTTAATCATTCTATTAATTGTACAAATTAATTCGTAGCTTTCTTTTCATAGATTTGTTATTAATTTTATGATAGTTCGTTCTATCGATCCCGTCGTTCGCCACGCCATGTGGGTACACTACGCCCGAATTGCTCAAACAACCTCCGAAACGATAAAACGTCCGGGTAATCGAGCGTGTCCAGAGAATGGTACCGAAAGCAACAAATTTACCCAGAAAATCGTGGAAAACGGGTTACCCGATACGATTTTCTTCAACTCATTAGACGTCCGTGCCCCGAGAGGAACGTCGAGGGTCGACCATAACGACGACGTGAACGTACGAGGAAAGTACACGGAACTTTTACAGCCCCGCGGCCCTTTTACGAGAACTTTCTTCGAGGACGCAATAAAACGCCCCCCGCCCGACGTATGCCAGGAGTATATCTCGTTTTCCCCTTTCCTCCCCCCCACTACCCCAGTTTTTCCACTCGGAGGAACCGCCAACGCCCATCGTCCGCCGTGCACCGATTACGTTTCGTTACATTTTCGCCTCTTTTCTTTTTTTACGATTTTCCAGCTGGTTTGCATTTCACGCCCGCCCACCGTACACCCTCTTAACTCACCCCCACCAGCGGTGTATGTGACTCACCCCTCCCACCCCCAAGGCCACCCTGGGCGGCGTTACGTTGAAGAGGATAGAGGGTGGGGATTCACCAGCTCGACAGTCTCTCTCTCACAAAGGATTCCATTTTCTCAAATAATCCCGAAAACGCGATAGAAAGCTCGTAAAAGCGGCCAAGGCAATCTCGCATTTACGAGCGCTCGCACTCGTTCCCGCTGTCAACGGCAGGGCCGTTCCGCGTTGAAATACGGAAAACCTCCAGGCAAGATCACTTGGCTGCTCGAATTTTCCCTATCTCATTCGGAACAATTACTAGTTCTGATACCTCTGGCACACTGTGAGATTGAAGCGATTTTCGCGTCAGCACGGTCAAAGTGCTACAGTTTGCCGGACGAGTGACGAATTTGGGTGTGCCCAGGAATATTATGCGCCCGGTCATTATGGTCCCATTAGTTGTGTCGAGTGACAAGCGCATGAGTTTGTCTCGGATTTCATTCGGTGAACCGAGGAAACGGCTTCGTATGTAAAAGGCGGAACGTATTCACCGTTCTGTCGGTGGAAACGTATCTCTATTGAAGAGAACATAAGAAGAAAGATCAAGCTTCGAACATGAATAAAGAAACAGTGGTCCATTAAACCATGCTTCTGATTATACAACAGGATGGCGTCGTCACTGAATTTGTAATATTTGACAAAAATATCGGTGATATAAAAACGATGTGATTATGAATTTCATTTTTGATCTTCATTTCTAGAAGTTGTTCAGACTTTGTACTTTATAAATGTACAATCAAAGTGTACGCGTATTCGCCAAATTATTCGGAGGTTCTTGAGTCTCGCAATTTGCAATTTACCACTTTAATTGTGTACATTCCCGTATGTGTCTTCGTTTCGTCGTGAAAACCACCCACAGCGAGGAGAGACGTCACGGAAATAAGAAGAAAAACCTCTCGCCTCTGTGGATTTATGCGTTTTCAGGGAACAGGGAAAAGCGAAACTCGAGTCGAGAGGAGGAACGTGTCGCCGTTAAACGACGCCACATGTCGAGCCCCCCTGTTGTCGCTAATTTCACCAATTAACTAAACGTCTGTCCAAATCCTCGTCCGCTGTACTTCGAACCCACCGTTAATATACCTACACCCGAAGAAATACACCAGAGAGCACGTTCCGAATGAAATTGTACTGGAAATATTTAACATCTCAGGTAGCTTCTTACGAGACTGCTCGGATCAATTACGCGACAGGATCTTTCTTTTTCTTCTTCTCGGGGGATGCAGGTCGACTTGAAACAGATAACAAGTGAAATTGTTAGTGTGTATTTTGTAAATTATTGAATCGAAGATTTCAATGAAATGGAAGTCTGTGAAAATATTTGTGATCGTAAGTTGGTCTCTGAAATGGGAATTTTCACGATTTTAAATGCATTTCCAATTCGATTATAGGCCAGAAGACGGGTTAAAGTAAAAGAAACTTAACTTATTAAAAATGTTTAGAGAAGTTTCCAAAGAACAGAGGATTATTTTTATAGAGACAAGTTTTTCGTTGCGAGAAGAAAGCCCTACGTCTGTGGCTTGGATTCGTTTCTGTTATTGGTCTTTCAATTCTTAAAGAAAATTCGATAGAGATTAGTAAATGTTAAAAAAAACAGTTGATTCACTCTGTTACGAGACTTGTTCCGCTCGCTTGAGATGTTCCCTGACTGGTTTTGGCCGATTCCGCGGGTTGGCTCCACGACTGCCCGATCCTGGCGAGGCTCATTTTACTCTGGATAACGGAGATTCTCCTGCTGTCGCCCAACGAACCGGAAATCATGCTGCTACGCAACAACGCCGGCCTGGAAGCTGGACGTCTTGCGTGCATATGGTGGCCTCTCGGTTCTGGCGGTTTCTTTCGTGTGAACGGAGTGTCCCAGAACGATTGGTTGATCCCGAACAATTCGCCGTCCTTGAACAAAACCGAGAGAGCTTGATGCGGCGTTGTAACACAGAAGTACAATATATCATCGATGACAGTCCAAACGCCATCCCCAGCACTTAATACCATATTTAAATACGTATTAAAAATATTTAAATAAATAATTGTTAGGAGAAATATATATTGGATATAGACTAAAAAATGTGTTTAGAAAACGAAAAAAAAGAAAACAAACAAACCGGAAGAATTTGATTCATCGAATCAAGGGGAAAGGTCGTACCCTTCCCTTGTCAGTGCCGAGGAAGCTTCGAACACTCATCGACGATTCATTGTATTATTATTGTCCGCTCACCGTCAAATTCTGCGGCAATTGTTCCATCAGCGTCTCCGGCAAGAACAGACAGAGTATCCCGGCGCATATGCACGAGATCCCGAGTATGATCATAGGCAGATTGTGCAGGATCCTGTTGGAGAACGCGATGAACGGGCTGATTATGGACGTGACGTATCCCATCACGTGTATCACCGCCACACCCTTCCCTCGGACCACCGTCGGCAACAATTCCGCTGCGTACTGCATCGCAATGTTTGAGGCGATGTTGATGAAGAATCGTCCGCAGATCACGAACGTCGTAAGTCCGGAGAGGATCACCGCGCTGAACAACGTCCATCTACGTCCTAGTACGTCCAATATATAGGTGACCAACAGAACAGCCGGGAACTCGGTGGCTGAGGCGATCGTGAACGTGGTGAAGATATTCATGCCGAGATCGTCGAGACACCTGATATGACCGTCGTAGGACATCTGGATGATACCCCAGGATAGCGTCAGCAATATTGTTATTCTTCTGTCGACGACCAATTTTTTCCCCATTTGTTGTCGCGTATAATAACGAAGACACAATTTCGACGGTTCGATCAACAACACAAGACTACCTGAGACGTTTTGTTCGAAGAAGATCCAGAATCGAATGGTCCTCCGCTGCGAGTATGTCGGCTGTTCTCGCGCAGTCGTCGACGAACATCTGATAGATGTCACTTGGTATCGTCATTCGATTCACCTTTTCGATCTTCGCGATGATACGGATCCCCTTCTCGACCTGTCCCTGGCTGATCAACCACCTTTTGCATTGTACGTGCATTAACGTGTCGGTTTGTAATATTTAGTTTTGGTTTAAAATGAACTCGGTGGATGGTTCTTAGTGTTTTTCTGTTTTGTCACGGTGTTATAAATTATCGAGGGGATTGAACAGCGGTAGAGTAGAGATCAGAGTAGTGGATAGAGTAGAGAGTAGAGTAGAGAGAAGTGGAGGAAATACTCGACTGACCTGACACTTTCCGGGATAAAATGTGGCGCCGCAAGTGCAATGACCAACGGCAGACAGGTGACCACGGCGAACGTCCTCCAGTTGGCGATATTATACGACAGCCACGGCAGTGACATCGTGCCGAGGGTGAAGAATATCCCGTAGGATATGTTTGCGGTGAACGTACGCCATTTTGGTCCCACGTACTCCAGCACGAGTATGTAAGCCATCACGAATGTGTTATCGTAGGCGAGACCGACGACGAATCGGCAGGCGCAGAACTGCCAGAAATAATTGATGTAGACGGTGCTCAGACCGCCGACGAAACCGATCATGTTCGTCGCGACGAGAACCGGTATACGGCCGTATTTGTCGGCCACCCAGCCGAACAGGAAACCGCCGACGATTGAGCCGACGAAGAAGATGCTCTGGGCGAGGTGCGTCTTGTACGCTTCGTCGCAGACCTGCGATTGAAAATCGCGTGTGAAATTCTGGTTTATACCTTTAGACCGCATTACTTCGATACTTTATCAATCGATTCTCGAATTATTGCTGTCAAAGTTTCTGTTAAGGAGCTCTGGTGAATCTGTTGTATACTATAGAAGCGGCACCAGCACTGCCATTTTGTATGAAATAAAAATGTGTTTGTATATTTGACAATATACATATTACAGGCTTTGCAACCGATTTCCAATTTACTTTATTGTATTCCCAGAAAAAAATTCACAAAGATACCTATGCTTTCAAGGCGTCGTCCGAGTGAATTAACCTTTTAAAGAGAAAAAGAATTCGAGACCAAATGTCAAGATTCTCGTGAATCTTGTTCTAATAAAGTCGAAAGAACGAGTTACCCAATTTTGTTCCGCGGCAACGGACATGTAAGGCACGTCGTCACGGCTGATTTTGAAATTCCACTCGGTGCATCTCTTCAACGGCCAACTCTCGTTCGGTTCGTCCACGGCGAGCACCTCCTCGACGGGCAGATCGTAGATCCAGCACCTCGAGTAGGGCAGATGGTGGCCCTCGTTCGGTACCAATTTCGAGCTTGGTATCATGATGTCCCGCAGCCGTTCCTCCGATACACCGTCCACCAACGGCAACCGACACCAGTATTCTTTCGGCAGAACGGTGAGGAACGCTTGCGTGAAGTAGACGAACGAGAGAAACATGCAGAATATCGTCAGCGATCCGAAAAGGTACCTCTGATAGGTCCCGAACTCGCCTGGATCGATCAGACTTTATTCTATTAGCTCCATTGTATATGTATACAATACACTGTGTGCTTATGTCACTCTGAACACCATGAACAAAATTTCTGTTTGATCCTAATACTTGCCCAGGAAAATCAGTATGTCGTCTAGAGTCACGCCATCTTCATCATCGGGAAGGAAGAACTGAGAGGGTCTCATCGGAAACTCAATCTGTTCTTGCTTTTTAAATGAAATTCTAAGTGGATCAGACTGGTGTTGTGTGTTTAGGAATAACCTTAAATTCACTGTAGTACACTTGCAGGTTGTCTGAATCGTTTGCAGTACCGATATTGGTTTGCTGTGAAGTAAAACGAGTATCGAATCGTGGCGATGTGGTGCCAATATCAGGAGGGATATCGAGTGAAAACATTCGAGATTGAATTATTTCAAATGAATATAGTACTGTAGACCGGAATGACTAATACTTAATTTTGTGATCGCGTAATTTGTCGTCTTTGGTATAAAACCACCCTCAGTTTTTCGTCTCCATTCTCGGAGAAATACAGCTACGGGTTCCGTCGAAGGCAAATAGACGATTTCTGATCGTCGCGGAGCGCCGGTCCCCGTTACCACCCCAACTATTTGACCTTAGAAGGAACAAGGGGGTTGATAGACGAGTCGACGCGATTCTGCGCCTGTTTCATACTCCTCGTTACGCCAACGGGGGATGGTGACACCTTGCCCTCGGTTCTCACCCCATCTCGTTCTATCGATGGAACTCCGGGGGTAGCACTCCCTTTTCAGCGATGGCTACACTCTCAACATGCCCTCTTGCAAATTTTTGCAACAAACTTCTTTTCAACGTCATCCAAAAACTAACGCAATTTAGACAGTGGCAAACGTACTCAACAATCTCTTTAGGTATTACTTAGGGATAGATACTATAAATCCATAAACATCCGCAGTCTACTTATCATGTTTTTTTGCTCGAAGCATCTTGAGGCCATCGCTACCTCTCCCCCTTAAGGATGATTTCCAATTTGCAGGGACGAGTAATCCAACAATTTACATAACTCCATGGTAACGGTATCACTCTCCCTCGCGAGACATCGAGACCCCGCCTTTACGGGCGAGCGTCGAAGGACCTTCGGAGGGTGGATTCCTCCGGAGAATATAAATGGTCGTAATTTAAGGTTGCTATTCCTTCAGAGACAGACTTTTCTTTCGCTGGTACAATTTATACGAGATTTTACAATAATCCGTTTGAGCCTGGTAGCCTCAGAAGGGTTAAAGTAAATTGGTTAAGTAGTTGAATTATTGTTTAAAGTAATTTCGAAAGTAATTTCTTTCATCCGATATATGTACAATTCAATGCACTATGCAGAGATGAATTAATATTAAAAAGAAAGAAGGTCGATTCAAGGCAATCGATATAAAGAATTTTCTTCTCGTATCTCTTTGTTTTGTCAAATTAGTTGACTTTCCGTCACGATCACGGCTGCTTTCGTTTCATTCCGTCGGAATTAGTTCTCTTCATGGTGACGTAATTCCCCGTTAAGTTTCCTCGTTTTTCGGATCGATCCGACGACGAATCAGGGCGCAGTTAGCTAATGCGCGCTTGTGTTGGCACAGCCCCCGAGGGGGTGGCTCCACCGGCGTAGGTAGGGGCGAATCGTGCCCGTGGCAACCATCCAACGTACCCCCCCTCCTCTCTCTCTCCCCCCTGCCGATCCGAGTTTTCTCAACGATCCAGCCTGATCTTCTCTTTTATCCGACAAAATGAAAATTTCCTGGGTGCAAAAAATCCACCCTCCTCTCACTCTTTCTCCTTACCCGAAATCTTTTTTCTTAGCTCTGGCTGTAATCTCTATCGAACGTAGATATTTTTGGCGAACAATTTCAAACATCAAGCTTCTCTCAACGGACAACATTATTCCCCCTTTTTTTAATTCAATCTTTTACAGAATAAATCAAACATCACTCGAAGCCACGACAAATTTAACGAGTAGAACTTTCAACGACTGGAAACGTTCAAGTTCATAGCTGCAAAATCCAAGGCCACCCCTCGACGACCATTCCTTTTTTTTCCTTCCATCGCGCCCCGTTTAGGGAGAGAATTCTCCCCGATACGCTACGGTAGGCAACGTCCTCTAATATCCGTAGGGCCATCGGGTGTGGCTTTTGCCGCGATTAATTCCCCGGGAATCCAATTAATTCCTCGCCGCCGACCAATGAACTAACGGTTGTTTGTCGAAGAAAACGTCCTACGTTGATCGAGGGGCGGGTGGTGGTGGTGGTGGTGTGGAGAACGCGGGAGGTTGCCTCGAAGAAGGTGAGATCCGGGGATGCAGGGTAGAGGGTGAAATTCTCGGGGAATATCGTCGGGAACCGGTGGCGATGGTGGGGTGAGAGGGTGCAGATAAAATTACATTATCGCCTAAAGCGTTCTCCTCGACGAAGGAGAGGGAGGGAGAGAAATAGGGGGAGGGAGAAAGAGGGAGAAAGGAGGACCCGGCGTGAAAATCACGTCCCGTAATTCCCGGGCATTAAGGTAAACGTCCAAGTTCCAGGGCGCAGGTTCGGTCGCCATGGTAACTACGATTCTCCTCCCGGATGCTGCAACGAGCTTCCTGCGATGGCGACTCTTGTAGTAGATCGTTGAGAAGAATTTTATGCAGGATTCTACGAGACGAGAGATTCTGAGTTTCACAGTCTGAATCCCGGTCTACTTTGAAAAGGTTGACTGCCGGAGCTGTTGGTGTACGGATCGTTTATTAGAATTTCTTGTCGATTACAATGTATTTTAGGGATGAACCTCTCCGCCAAGTGTCTACGCATTCAAGAAGACGCACCATCTAATTATAAAAATTGGAATTTGCACGTTTGGTCAATTACAAAAAAGCGAAGTATTTTTTAAAAATCTTGTCACAATTATAGTATCAAGAAGTTGTCGTTCAGTGATCATTTAATAAGAAAAAAAAGATAGTTCTGATGAGCGGATCGAGTGAAATACAGTAGCAAGGAAGAAAATCGCACACGAAACCAAGGATGGAACGCGCGCGAGGGAGAGCAAATCGATCGTGACAAGCGGAACTTGTTTATTCTTCATGACGAATGATCGCCGACATTAACCGCGAGCGTACTAACCACCGGGCAACCATTTGTCGGTCGGTAATGCGTGCGATCGATTAATTAAATCCGGCCAACCGGCGACGGTATCGTGGCCCGGAATCATCCCTTAAACGACGGACCAATCGGAGCGAGGTTACGAGTGGGGTGGTACTAGCCACTCTCTTCGACCCCCATGGGAGAACAAGGGGGAACGATTATCGTGCGACGGGATGATCGCCCTTAAATTGGGATTTTATTAACTGCTCGGTGGGGGTGGGGGGCTCTTTCGATCCCTCGGAAAATCGAGAAACTGGAATTCATCTTCTTTTCGTTGATCTCCAAATCGCTAGAATTTTCCAACAAACTTTTGATCAAAGCGTTCCTGAACAACGAATGGAAAATTAAATACTCTTTCTACAATTAGATACTTTAGGATTATTTCCAAGACAATTGGACTAACATCCACAATACATACTAGAATTAAGGTGACATGTTATTGTCGTGGAATTAACATTAGAATTACCAAAGCAGCCAGAATGACTTTGTCCGTAGATCTTTATAATGGGGATTAAAATCTTACAACAATCCCAACAATTTTCTCAGTTGTATCGCAACTTTTATTACAATATTAGGCATAGAATGTTGAAACAGTTGCTATCCTAAGATCTTTCACTGATCTATAAAAAAATAGAAATCCAAAAGCACGATCGACAATAGAACGTCTGTGGACGTGAAAAAATGGTGGTAAACTTTTTTTTTAGAAATAGGGACGAGTAGATTGAAGAACGCAAACTCTTGGAACGTAACACACGAGGCAAAAAAATACAGGCCAGTTTCGATTTTAATGACCGAATCTCAATCGGTTTCGCGGGATCGAGAGCAATTTCGATTTCGTGACGCTCGGATCGATTCGATAACAGCCGACACCACCTCCCTGCAATATCCAATCGGCTTGTTTGGCTTAAGTTTCGGCGGCTCTCTTTTGTTTGTTACTTCGCGCGTGCCGAATTAAAATTCATTCCACCGGTGTGTTCGCCCCTCGTTTCACGCGTCGCACCCTCTCCTCCACCCTTTATTTTTCATCGATTTTTTTTTTCAATTTTCGGCGCCTCGTTTTTCATCGGTCAGTTGTATCGGCGGCGGATTGACAGAAAAAAAAGAAACGTACAATAAATCGGAACGATTTCACGGCTGTTTGTTTTTTTAATTCTTCATCGGTCGGAAAATAAACTACGGTTCGTGACATAAAGGTAACTCGACTACTTTTTTTCCATTGAAAAATGTCCGTCCACTGTAAAAAAGTAAAAAAGAGGCTTATTACCGGATCTGGCACTGATCCAACTGTACTCGTTATCGACGGTGGCCATTTTGAAATACATAAGACATCTCTGCAGAGAACTGCATTTCTTTCCCGTATCATTAAATCTGTTATACTGTAACAAGAACCAATCAAAGAAGAACATAATGCCATCTAGGTATACACGTCCACTGTATTGCATTTCCAGTTAAGTAGAATGTTAAATTATTCTACAGGTAATAAGAAATTCATTAATCACGAAAAATTATCGAGGGAACAAAATAAAATCCGTTTCGAACCTCCAGTCTGGAGCGTACCTGCTTAGGACGCAGCGTCGGGTATACATATACATACATACCCGACGAGAGGTCGACTCACCTGGGATCCGATGATGGCGTCGAAGAACCGAGTACGACTTAATTCGACGTAATGCCGGGTTAATCCGAGTGACCTTTCGCGGACCGAGTCGTGATTTAAGGCGATGATTGGCGTCGGCTAATTGGCGGCCTTGTCTTCCGCCAGCGAAACAGTGATAAATATACCATAATTCCGACGGTAAGAACGCAGGAGGCAGTGGAACGGAGATCGAAATAGCGGTAGAAACACTGGGCTAGAAAAAGACCGAAGAGAGAGGGTCCAGGAGGACGGAGAGAGGCTCGGTTTCATTAAGTTCGCCTAAACAGCCATCAATTCAAGCCGATGAAAGTCGACCCGTCGACGTCCGACACACATTTTCGCGCCGTTTCTATGGATATTCGCTGGGTGAGCAGTGCCCGTTCCCATCGGTTAATTAAATCAACCGGAGAATTTCTGGTATTTATTGGGTTTTCATGTAAATCAACCATCGTCCAGCGAAAAACAATCCTCTAAACGACAGGCACGACGATTACTGGCTCTTGTAACGATTTTTCGTTGTGTTTCGGTTCCTTGATTTGGATCTCATTAACAATAGAGAGATTTGTGCTTGGTATTTGAGTTCCCATTTCGATAGTAATCGTTTGTGTTCTCGATGCCGGTGAATAGTTACGGACACAGTTAAAATATTATAGATCCTTGACTCCCATAGAACCGAATATACAGATTTCGTCAAGAAGTAATTATTGATTGGGGGATAAGTAAAAAAATCGTTGCACAAGACGTGCAAAGTTTACAATTACCGTTCAAATCAGCTACGAGTCGTAGAATCCAGACAAGCGCGTCCAGGCAACAAGGATGCGGTCGAACGAGTTGCATAAAAGTGGGCAACGTTTCGCACTCCCTCGGGGATAGGCTGTGGGAACGCGGCTGTGAAGACTTCATTATTTTTGAGGGGAGAAGTGCCCTTTCTCGTTAGGGGATTCCTCGCCCAGGGC